GCGGAGAGTGGGAGCTGGTGACCCCGCCAGAGTGGGCGTAGGAAGGGCACGGGGGCTTAGGTAGGAGTGCGGGTGAGGTCAGAGCTGCGGGAACAGAGGCAGAGGGACCATGGCAGTGGCTGCTGGCTGCTGGGTAGTTGGGCTGAAGGCAAGCCTTCAGGGTGGTCCTTGGGCAGATGCGTGTTGAGTCAGGAGCCCTGATGGGGGGTGGATCACACCAAGTCCACGTCAGGGCCATCCTCCTGAGCAGGACTGGGCTCGGCTTCCTCTTTGGACCCCTGGGTGGGATGGATGGAGGTAGTGGGGGGGGGGGACTTCAGACACCTCTGCTTGGGCTCCGCTTGGAGAGTAGAAATTGGGGGAACCAGGGGCTGGGCAGGAACTTGATCCCCTCCCCAGCTGAACCTAGGTGGCTCGTGTTGGGGGCGTATCAAGGAAGGAGAGAACTGGTCCAGTCCAGCGTGTGGGCTCCAGCCTCTGGGGCCCTCAGTCCCTCCATCGTGGGGATGAGTGGAGCGTGGCGGGGGGAGGGTTGCCTGGGGACCGTTGGTCTGAGTGGAGCCTGAATCCTCCCCATCTCCAAGGATGGTGGAGAGAGAAGGGGGCTGGTTGTTGAGTGGGTTGAGTCTAGTGCCGGGCCCTGGGCTGCTGGGCCCAGGGCTGCATGGGCAATGTACAGGGAGCCCCCAGCCCGCCCTCCTGCACTGAGGCCTGCGGTGGACCTGCCTGGTTCACAGCCCGAACACACAGCCACAGGGCCGTCGCTGGCTCCTGTCTCCCTGCTGCCTTCTGTGCCCCTGAGCATCTCAGTGGGAACATCAGGGCGGCACAGGCACAGGGGCACTTGGCTTCCTGCGCGGCTGTCCATTTCCTTACTACCTGCTGGGTGCTCTCTGTGCTCTGTAGCCTTCCATCATGGTCCTGGGAGGTGGAGCCTGTTGTCCCTGTTATAAGGGAACTGAAACTCAGAGCGGCCATTGGCGGTCAAAACACAAACTTGCTCGGGTCGCTGAGCTTGGGGAAGGCAGCGCTGGGCCCCAGGCTCACCTGTGTGTTTTGGAGCCCAGCGCAGGGAGGAAGGTGTGGTGATGTGGTGGTGGTGGGGGGGGGGGGGGGGGGGGTGACCCGTCTCCCTGGGAACTCCGCCCCCATCTCTGCTGTCTCCCCCAGGTGGCATCAAAGGCCGGAGTCTATGAGATCCTCAATCAGCTGGGCTTCCCCGAGCTGGAGAGCGTGCAGGACCAGCCCTTCTCCGGGCTGCGCTGCCGGTGGCAGGAGCGGAGCCACGGCCTTGAGCCCGCCGCTGCTGGAGACTTCCTGTAGGAGGCGCTCCCCCGCCCCTGTGTGCCCCCTCCCACAGGCGTGCTCCAGGTGCTCCTCACTGGGAGCCGTCCTGAGGAACCCATTCCCCAGCTTCCCGCAGAGACTGGAGTGGGGTTGGGACCCTTTTTTAAGAAGAGGTTTTGATAGGACAATTAGTGCACAGGTATACTTGTAAACCACAGGCGCACGGGCCCGGCGTGTGCCTTGCAGACCGAAGATGGCTTCCGAGGAGCTCAGTCCCCAAGTAGCCACCAGACGAAGCCACGCTCCACTTGCACGCATGCGCTTTCCTCTCCCGCTTCCGAGCGGTCCTCACAGCCTCAGGTGCAGAGTCCGGTTCCTTCTCTTGCTTTCTCTTGCTGCCCTCCTGCTCGGCTTCTCCCCTTTTGCTGCCCGAGCACTGCCCTGGGGCCCCTGGCTCCCCAGGGAGCGGACAGGGCTCTTGGTGGACTGGTCACTTTAATGGCAGCCTCACCCAGTTCCCTGGCCTCTCGTGCCCCTTCTCTTTCCTTCCCCTTGTCCGTCTCCTGGGGATGGCAGGACTGTGAGGGTCTCCAAGGAGCTGGAAGGGAGGGGTCCTCTCGGGAGGAAAGAGCTTCTAGAAGGTGGATGCGGCCCCGGGAAGAGGCCTGCTCCGTTTCCCGGGCGCCAGGGCGGGAAGGGCTGAGGAAGCCAAGCTCCCAGCAGTGGGTCCTTCTGTGCTTCTTCCCTGCCCTGGTGGCCTAGATGGCTCCAGTCCCCATCTGCTGCAGCAGGAGCCCCGAGGACTGCTGGGTGACCCTGAGGGAATGGTGAAGAGGGCTAAGGAGGGTGTGAGGGCTCACCTGGGTTGCAGGCCATCCGAGCTGAGGACCCCCCCGAGCTTCCCTCCAGAGGGAACAGAAGGGGCTGGTGAGCAGGAGGCTGTCCCGACAGTGGGAAGGCCGCTGGGAGGGGCGGGAGGGCACGGCCCTGTGGAGTTGAGTCTCGCTCTTCCTCTGGGGACCGTTCTCCGCTGAAGCCCAGGGGCCGGGCGGCCTGAAGGCTGCCTATGCGGCCCTTCCTGGTTGGGTGCGTGCGCTTCTGTGGAAAATCAGGCGGATGTGTCTCTGTTCCCATCTCCCTAGCATTGGAAGGAATTGGGCCGTCTCGGCTGAAATCTGCGAAACTACTGTATGTCCATTCCCTCCCTTTTCAGATCTGTCAGGTTTGTTGATTTTTGCATATATTAGAGAGTTTTGATTTCTTTGCAGACAAGGTCTAGAGGAGGGGTCAGAGCTCAGGCTGAACCGAGAGGGATCCTTTGTGTTTTCACGGTTGGCCCTGACTTTCAGCTATGCTGGGACCACTGGCCGGTCACTGCGCCTCTCTGCCTCAGTTTCCCCATTTGTAAAATGGGAGAATAATACTTGCCTACCTACCTCACAGGGGTGTTGTGAGGACTCATTTGTGACTTTTTTTTTTTTGTACAGAGCTTTTGAGCATTAAAAAAAATGGCTAAATGTGAAATGTGCCCCGCCTGCTGATGTCTGTAGTGTGGGGCAGATGTTACAGACGTGATACAGCTGTGGTGGGTGGGCAAGGTGAGTTGAAAGCACCAGCCCTTAGTGCTCCCAATTCTTGGAGAAGGTAAGTTTTTCCTGACATCCCTCTCCTTCCTTCACATCCTTCATGCGTTACCGTCTCACTCAGGATGCCCAGGGCTGTCCAGCAGCATAATAGGCTAATTCATACTCAGAGGTGAAGGACTGTTGTGTTCAGAGACATGGAGCAAAATGGAATCTCAACGGTTATGATGGAGGGTGGACCTCAGCCTCTACTCCGTCCTCTCACCCCCGCAGGCTTTCCTTGGCCCCTTCAGGCCCCCAAATGCTCAGACACAATTGCATTGATTAGTGTGTGAAGAGGCAGTGAGGAGAGTGAGGCGGAGAGCAGACCCCAGGCTTTCTCCCCACGCTCTCCCAGGGTTAGGGGAATGAAAGACCTCTGGGTTCTAGTTCTGAGGTCAGCTGGGGGGTGGTCAGGATGGAACCCAGAGCCCCATGTGCTGGGGTAGGTGATCTTCCCAGTCTGGGAGGGAAGGCCTCCTGGGGTTACCTCCCCGCACAGCAGAGTCCAAGGATGCCCCATGTGGCTTCTGAACGTGAGTGTGGAGACATGCACACCAGTGTGTGTGTGTGTGTGTGTGTGTGTGTGTGTGTGTGTGCACGCGCGCGCCTGGTGGGGGAGGGGCGCTTCTTTGCCTGGGGTACGAGGGTCTGGGTGGGGGGATACGCAGGAGTGGATGGTGTTCACGGGAGTGTCCCCCCGGGTACCCTGTCCTCCCACTGCCCCCTGAGGGCCTGGCTCCCGCACCCTTGCACTGTGTTCTTTCCCAAAGGCTTCCGGGGCTCCCGGGGGGGTCTGCCACACCGGTTTGTCCCTGTGCCCAGACCAGACGGCCTTAGGTGGGACCCTGCCTAGCTTGGGGGTGTACCTGTGGGGGCCGATGAGCACACGCGGGCTTCCATACATAAGGGTGGGTGTGTAATTTGGAGATACCTGAAAGTGGGCTGTGGGCGGTGATTCGACAGGTACAAGTTGGTGTGTGGACAGGGACAGCCCACCTTCCGGAGCCTGTGGCATTTCAGGGAAGAGGGTGAACGAGTCATGTGCACTGGGTGTGGCGAGAACGGGTGTGGCACGGGGTGCTGGTAGACAGGAGCTGTGAGGTGGAGTACAAGGTCAGAGTTCAGCCTGGGGCCCGGACTTCCACCGCTCTCTTCTGACAGAGCTTCTAGAATGAGGAAACAACCGAGGTCGTGGAGCCTGCGGGCATACTATGCCTGGAGTCAAGCCACCTCATCCCAGGACCCCACGGCACCAGTGATCTGAGCTCCTCCTGACCCTGTTTACCCTCCCGGCCTTGAGCAGACACTAGGAATGGGCCATATTCTGTGCAAGAGGGGCCCCCAGAGGGCCTTTGGTTTCCCTCCTCATCCCAAGAACCAGTTTAGGATGAACTGGAAGAATGGAGTGCCCGCCCAGAAGTTGCTGACAGGTCTTCCCTGCCGTGTCCAGTAGGGGACCCCCAGCTGCTTCTGCAGAATCAGCACCGTCGTATCTTTCTATTGGTTTTACCTCACAAAAGGCTGTTTGCCTTTTTTTTTTTTAATGTGTATTTTTGAGAGAGAGGGAAAGAGCACGAGCGAGGGAGGGGCAGAGAGACAGGAAGAGAGTGAATCCCAAGCAGGCTTTGTGTTGTCAGCACAGAGCCCGACGTGGGGCTCGATCTCACAAACCGTGAGGTGATGACCTGAGCTGAGGTTGAGAGTCCGACGCTTAACCGACTGCGCCACCCAGGCGCCCCAAGGCGGTTCATTTTTTACTCACCTAGGTAAAGCATGATCAGCTGCTAGTTGTGAAAATTCGAGCAGTATCTTTGTTCCCCCAGCCCCCACTCCCTCTCCCACCCTCTGGCTCTGGAAGACACCCGTGTCCCTAGAGCGGCCCATGCTGGTTGGGCCTTTCTCCTGGCTGCGCTGTCCCTGGCTGTGGCGTTCCCCGAATACCATGAGACACACCCCTTTCTCTGCTCAGGCAGCAGGAGCGGTTTGGGCATCCATACCCTGGCAGTTGGATTGTGGACCACTTGTGTCTCTGAGTCTCCATTTCCTCAACTGTGAATGGGATGCTTATTTGGAGGGTGAGATCAAAGTTAATGTAGGGTACGAGACCCGGAACAAAGGAGCCCGGCTGAGGTGCCACCAAAGAAGTGATGTGGACACAGCAGGCTCCTTAAAAGTCAGGGACGCTGGAGCCAGGAGGCAGGTAATGCCAGGGAGTCAGGGGCCGGTGGCAGCCTCCAGCTCTCCGTCCGGGTCTCCTTCCCTCCTAGAGGAGCCGGGACGAGGGGACAAAGGCACTCCTCGGTGTCCCATGCAGCTGTTCTCTGGGAAAGCCATGCTGACTTCTAAATGACCAGAGCGGGTGTGGGGCAGCCTGGTGGGAGGGGTGGTGGGTGCAGGCCAGGGAGAGGCCTTGGGAAGGGCTGACGTGGGGGTGTCCTGGACGAGGCCGGCCCTGGGGGATCCCTGGCTGAGCTAGTGGACAGCGTTTCTGTACGTTTGCTCACTTGGATTAGGGCAGGCCAGCCGGCTTCTAGAAAGTTTCCCTGCCTTTGGGTGGCCCGGGACCAAGCAGGGTTGGGTCAGGAAGCTCCAGGGGCCTCTAGAGCTGGGCACCTTCTGCCCATTGTGGTGCTTCTCCAACTGGCAGCCTTCCCAGGGCTCTTCCCGATGCTCGGCCCAGGAGCGCCTCAGGCCACACGGCCGCGTGGGGCCCTTCCTTCCTGTTCTTTCACAACTGTCAGACCCGCATCGTGGGCCCATCCGAAGGCCCTCCCTGCCTTCTTCCCCTCCCCCTTTATCCTTCACAGGGAGTTCCCCAATAAATCTCTCCTACATCTCATCCCTTCTTGGCGTCTGTCACTCTGAGGACCTGATGACGCACCCTCACTTTTGTCTTGGCGCCCCCCCCCCCCGCCCCCGCGAGAGCAACTGCTTTGTCCCCTCTTTCTGGTGACGGTCAGCTTTCTCTTGGCTCTGGAAAAATGACTGCCTGTCTCCAACTTCATCTGTTCCATTTCCAGCCGGACTCCATTGTCTGTCTCTTGTACTGCTCTCCCGTCTCACGTGAGGAGCCACGGGTCCTGTTGACGGGGGGGGGCCGGGAAATCATGGCTCAGTCTTTGAGGGTAGAGGGGTGGAGGAGAAAGAAGTTGGTACCCCTAAATCTGCATAGGGCGGTGCAAACTTCTGGTTATTTTCTAAATAAGAGGGCTGCCCATTTCAAAGTTTTTGGATACGCCCCCTCCAGTGTGTCCCCTGGGAATGTCCTACCTGCATTCCCAAGGAGCAGGTGACGAGCCTACTGTTCCTGCTCTCGTCAGCACTTCCCGTTGCATTTTTTAAAAGTTCTCGCCAGTTTGGTAGCTCAAAATACAGCATCTCATACTGGCTTAATTTTATATTCCTTTTAAA